GCGTCGAGGAAAGCGACATTGCAAAGAAATACATTTATTGACATGATTATCCGATTAGATGTTGACAAACTAAGATATCAATGATTTTTTTAGACTACTGGTACGGCGAGGACGATGGAGAAGACAAGAATGACGAAAAAGACAGATATCTCATGGGCCAAAAGAAGGCATCGTATGAGTACACCAGCGTAGCATAACTTGCAAATAGCCCTCCCAGATGAATACATAGTTCATGCTGCGAAATGGCACCAGAGTTACGTTGACTGAAGAATGATTCTTATCACTCGAGTTCAAGCCTCTTTAAATACGGCCTGCGTATCATGAATTCAAAAGCATTAATGATTAGGTACCTTACTTGTAAAAGTTGCGATAATGCTTCCGCCATCCTGATTCCGCCCTCAGGTCAGACTTGACGCCGAAACAAGCACTGATTCACATCATCAAAGTGTTAAGTCTGTTCACCAGGTCAGCCACAAGTGCTTCTCCTTCAGTAGAGAACAAATGTATCACTAAAATACGATAGCTCTGACGAGTTGCGCTTGCTCCTTTCAGCAGCAGAAGCGATGTGGGCAAGATGAGCTCTGACAGCTACACGTAAGTCATCTCATATGGTAGTATTCCACCTAGTATTATACAATCGTGTAGTTGTACAGTGATTAACGATTCGCTTTTGTGACATCACGTCAGCATTCAGACCCTATATCCAACCCCATCTGCGCCTTGATCCCCGTTGGTGTGTACCATCGCCAAATTGTTGGCATCTTCCCGGACAATTGACTGTTTCCTTGACTTCGTAAAATAATTTGGTGACTTCTTTCAACCAGCATAGGCAGTGCTCTCTGGTGAAGCGTGGTTGTAGTCGACTCTGTGATGGCAACTCTGCTCCTTCCTTGGAGACAACTTCCTACAAGCATAATATGATGCAGCTACCATAAACAGCAGGTTATCATGTAGTTGTCTGCTTGAAATCCTTCTGAACACGAATCGAGTGCAACGGAATCTCATCCTCGCTTTTGTCGTCAGGCTTGGTAGGGTAGCTCGTCACAGTATATCCGAAACCAAGTCCGTCGGCGTCGGGACGCAACTTCCGGTCATTCAGGGGTGGCGTGCGGTCGCCGCTCCGGCCGTCGGATCCGTTCTCGTCAGAGAGTCGATAAAAAGGGTCACCGCCGGCTGAGTGCTTCGTGGTCGACTGGCTGCGATTGACGTTTGTGCCATTTGGGTCTTGCGACGACATTCCGTTGCTGAAGTTGGACTTGTTCTTGGAGCCGAATCCCATCGCCGTTCCAACTCTGAACATACCACCCATGCTGCCCTTGATACCGCAGGCTCGGGCCACCTTCTGCATGGCGGGTCGAAGGGTGGGAAGGCAGGCAGAGACAATGCCGGCAGACATCTCGATGGCGGTCCAGCCGACGGTCGGGGCGAGGGTGTAGGTTGGGTCGAGGTTGCTGTAGGTGAAAAGAACGCTCGTTCGGTAGGCAGAGGTGAAGACGACACTAGCAACTGGTTAGCATCCCATGACGGGGAGCACTCCAATCCTCGAAGATCAGGGTTAACAAATAGGGGGCTCACAAGAAACCAAGGCCAAAGGCGAAGGTCAAGGCAATCTTCTCAGCCTTTTGCAGCTGCAGCTTCCAAACCTGAGGAATAGGCATGAGAAGGATCAGGAGATCGGTGAAAATGGTTGAGGCGGCATTCGCAATCCATGTCGCGACCTGGTTGATGCAGCGGCCGGGAAGATCGGGATACCACAACTTTTCGACGGGGACGCAGATGAAGATGAACAGGAACGTGATGCAAATAACCCAGGCGAAGACGAATGCTCCAACACCCCAGGTCATCTTTTTGAAGAAGGGGATGTGGAAGATGCGGTAGTACATGAGCAGCAAGCTCAGCTTCGTCCAACCCAGGTTCCATGCGTAAAGGATCTCTGCTACGACAAGGAACTTGGCCATCAAGACGATGTTATCCATCTCGACCTTGTCGGCGTGGACGCCCATGCCCTTTAAGAGGTTAGAATGTGCAGTTCATCTTCGAATTGGGGGTAATACTTACTACTGAGTGCATGGCAAAGATGAATCCTACGACGACGATGTTCCATAACTGCGTCATAGTTAGTTCAAGGCCCAGCACTCCAGATAATGACGCTATGAACGTCAATTTCGAGGATAGGGACGCACCATCGACCAGATGATCAGGTAATCATCCCACCACAGCTTCTGTGCCTTGAGATGGCGACTCCACAGACGAAGACCAACGGACAGGAGGGCGAGAACGGTCACGGAGACGACGACTTCGATGGTCCATGGCTGGATGTTCTGTGAATCGTAACCGGGAAGCCCGGGTAATGGCGAGGCATCGGAGGACGACATTGTGACTCGGCTCGTACGCTCTCACGCCCCTTTCCTTCACTCGCTTGGACGATGGGCAGAAAATAAAGTTGGACTCGATCGCGGAGAAAGGAACAAGAGAAAAGGCTCCTTCGGGAGTGAGGGGAGGACCCAGCCTGATAGCTCTCAACCGAAGGACAAAAGCAAAGGGGTTGGCGGCGCAATCCGCTTCAAACGGTCGCTCATCAACCCGGGGGAGGAGACTACCCTTCGCCGGAGGCTCATATGGACAGGGCCACTTGGTCGCTTTATTCTGCAGGCACGATCCCTCGACACTGCACGCGAAGTGCCGGTTTTGGTGCCCCTACCCCTGGGCGGCGCAGGAACCTTGGACGGCTTTGACAAGAGTGCGAACCCCTGGACAACGTGGTAATGATGGTACGAAAACTGGGGAAAGAGAGAACTTCGGTTCACTGTGGTCTTGCTTTTTGTGCTTAACTCAGTTGTGTGTAATGCAACTCTCCGGTCGACCGCAAGCTGGATCATTCCCAAATTGGTTGTGAGAGGGGAATCAGTTTATATGTCAAACGTGCCGGTCGACAAAAAGGGCAAGTTGATCAGCAAGAGGGAGTGGACTGAGAGGGGTTGGTGGGCGCGAAGGACAGGGCAGACAAGGTTTGATGATGGATGACTGACAGAATTTCATCGATGCCACGAGGCAAAGTCGGGCATCACGGACATCAACCCTGGCTGAGTGAGCTCAGCTCCAAAGCACAAGCCGCATTACTACACAGGCATTTTTGTGATTCGTAGGGGTCTTTTCGCCTCATTCCAGTCTTCCTATCATATTTGTTTTGATTTTGGAATATGACCGTCCACAAAAAGGGCGGGCTTTTCCTCTTTTTTCCTCGACGCCTTGTGGACCAAGGTTACTAGCGCAGTTAAGCGTCAGGCCTTTTGAAGGTCGAACGAGGTTGATGATTTCGGACTCGTTCTCCACAGCATTGGTCAAGAAATTTGGGGGCAAATGGCAGGCCTTAATGGGGATCATCCCGGACGCAGGATTCCGGTGCCGGGCAGCCTCCCTGAAAACCACTCGATTGGGTATCGGGTGGTGTTTCCAAGACTTCTAGCCTCCAGCAGTGGTGTCACTGTCTGGTGCCTGTTGGTCGGGCCGGGGTTCTCGCCGTCGGGAGATATTTGAGTGTGGTTTTATTTCGTTACACATATGAATTCCGCATGCGGTTTTGCGCCGCCCAGGAGCAAAAAGAATCGACAGGGGGGCACTCTAACCGAGCCTGCGAGTGTCTCGGCGGCTGCATGCGTCACCACGCAGCGCGTCGTCAGTGGCCGCGGAGGGATTTAGCACTCAGAAGCCGGTCGTATTGGGGGGGGGGACACCGGTTGTTCGGTAGCTGTTGAGGCATGCGTGCGGTGTGACGATCTCGGACCCAGCCGGCTTTCCGCTGAAGAATCCGACCAGAAGGATTCCAGACTTTGATTGAGAGACAACTTGTTGTGCGATTAGAGTCGGGCACTGCTTGCATGTCAACAACCACACAGACTTGACGCCAAAAAGGACGCCAGACCATATCTGCGAGCGGAAAATCAGCAAGACTGAAACTAGAGGAAGGATATTCCCGTCCCTCCCGACGGTTCATTTCTCTTAGAACGGGCGGGATGAATTTTGACTTTCAACGGCTCACTCAGTCCAAAACGACGGCGTCTTCCTCAACCGGGGATGGCACACAATTGACACCACCCAAAACGGCATTGGATGAACCTCTCACGGCCATCATCGAAAGTTCGCAACGCCGTCTCGTTCGTAAAGACCCGCTGTCCATCGTCTGGGCCCCTTACTCTAGCTCTCCTTGGGCAATGAGATGCAAACCTTCAGGACGCTACGCCGCTGCTGTCACCTCGGACACTTCGGTGTCAATAGCGCCAAAGACTCGGCGCTAGGCAGGGAGAACGTGGACTGTTCTCATTTCGCCCCTCGGTTGGACGGACCTGACTCGTGTCCACATCTGCCCATGTGCTATCGAATGTCTGCGGCCAGTGCTTCGGCGATAACACGGATAGGAGTGATGGGAATCCCCTGACAATCCCCAAGAGCCGATACGCGTGCTGTTGATCTTTTCCTCGCGTCCAACAAAGCTCCCCGTTACCCACATGCCATGGAAACGTCAGAGGCATTGACCAAATCCCCCCTCCTTGGGACCGGCGCTGGCAAATCGAACCGGATGGTCGCTGGAGCTTCACAAGACGTTTTTTTTCTGCCCCCCTCCACTCGCTTTGAATGCAGGGACATGCCTCGCCGTGAAATGGCTCTATTGGGAAACGCTCCCGGTAGCTACTGCACGGAGGTTACAACTCGGAAGGGTTTCGGCGGAGCCGGTCGTTTGAAATACACCGCTGCCATGTCTGCCATGTCCAGTCGGCAGGCCGCACGAGGTGCCACGAGCGTCTTTGCGGTGGGAAATACAAGAAAGAAACCCGCATTCTGCTTTCAAACTTACTACTAAACCAAACCTTCTTTGCCTGTACCCCAGCCAAGCTGCGAGTTTAGTTTCCTGAATCGAACATTCCATCCCCTCCCCAAAGGAATCCAATCCCAAACCGCGCCAAATAAGCCCGCAGCACCTGTCAGCAGAGACCGAATCAAAAATGGCCGCCACAACTACGATCCAGGTCCCCCACCTCGGCGGCATCACGGCCGGCTACCGTCTGTCCGGGGACAAGGTCGACCCCGCCAAGCCCACCGTCGTGCTCATCAACTCCATGTGCACCACCGTCTCCCTCTACGATGCTCAGTTCAACAGCAAGACGTTGACCGATGCTGTCAACCTGCTGGCTATTGAGCCTCTCGGCCACGGCTCCACCAGCTGCCCGGCCGAGCACTTCACCTACTGGGACACGGCCATCATGGCCCTGCAGGTGATGGACAAACTCGGCGTCGAGAAGGCCTTCGCTCTCGGCACTTCTCAGGGCGGCTGGATGGTCACCCGCATGGCGCTTTTGGCTCCCGAGAGAGTACGTAGCTTACCACCCACGTGATCTTCTGCTGTCACATTGTCATTTGCTTTTGACCACAGACGCTGCAACATGATGTTGCGTTTCGGTGTCCATCACTGTTGATCGATGCATACTGTGGACTCCGCAGCTAACGTTGTTTGACAATGATAGATCCTGGGTCTCTTGCCCTTGGGCACATCCATGGACTACGAGTCAGCCGACTCTCGCGGCAAGGGCTGCTGGGACCCCAAGGCTCAGCTGCTGGCCTTCTACGACGCCTGGTCCAGCCCTGTCCCGACGCCTGACTTCCTCGTCGACGACATCTGGTGCGGTATGGTCGGCAGCTTGGGCTTCTCTGGCACCGTGCCTCCTGAGACCCTGGCTTTCTGGACCAACACCCTCAAGTCTGTCTACAAGGGCGACGAGGGCCGCAAGAAGCTCAAGATTGCCCTTGGTAACCTTCTGTCCCGCGATGGTCTCCTGCTGAGACTCAGGGATATCAAGTGCCCTGTCTACTGGCTCCAGGTACGTGCATGTAGGATCAACCATGGGGAACGAAGATGCGAGGCATTCGGCTCCAGGCTGAGCGTAAGCGAGCGACCTGTGCGCTAATCATGTTTAGGGTACCGCTGACCCCGTCTTTGGCGTCAACATTCCGGTCGAGCAGATCAAGCTCTTCACCGCGTCGCCGGAGGCAACTCTTACGATGGTTGAGGGCGGTGGTCACTACCTCAACGCCACGAGCCCCAAGGAGGTTGAGGAGGCTCTGCTCACCATGGTCAAGAAGTATGCTTAAAGGGTCAGGCCTTGTTGTATTTTTGGGATGGGCCGTGCGATGGCGTTATGATCATGAGTCGTGGAAAGCGATACGCGAGGGACATTGAACATGGAACATCGGCCCCCAAGTTGTATGTGCGGCTGACAAGTACATAATCCGAATCTGAAAGAAATACCCAAAAGAACTTGAGATTCATCAGTGACCACGTCTGACCTCCACCCGGGGAAATTCCGGGCGGGTAATTATTGCTTGCATTGCACTCTGAAATCTCACGGATTGAGCGAAAACAATCAGTTGTCAAAAACGCGGCCGTGTGCAGCGTTCAGGGGCTGAGGCAAGTGATCTGACGATCCAAGCGTCTGCCAAACGACATCTGGGCCCTCTGTCAAATGCGACTTAACCAATTAAAACCAAAGTTCGTTATTCAATGTGACAGGTTCTATGCCTGTCAACTTACTCGGTCAGTATCCGACGTTGGTCGGAAAAGTTGCGACCTTGAAGTTGCCTCGTCCTTGCCATCCGTTTGATGTAGGATTTCGTCGAGGTTACCTCCTGTCTACTATTGCTACCATCCCTTTCCACACAGCTGGGACGCAAAGCTTGAGGGATAGGCTCACCATTTTGGGAGATTTTCTGCTGTCCGACGGTTGCCGTCGGGCGCTGCCGCTCCTGGCGTTAGCTAACCATCAGTCGATGAGCTGGATGGGGCAGTTGCGACCCAGTGTTTAACCAGTATCATGACTCGCAACTCCGAGTTGATGCCAAGCTGTGGCTAAACGTCGGAAATGGTTTACGATAGTCCACGCCGCCAAAGGAGAAACTCTCGCCTTTTCAGAGTTGAAAACCACGGAAGCCTCTCTCATCGGTTTGTGGGCGACTAATCTCCAGAGCGAAGCTAGCAAACTTAGATATAAAGTTGGGCATCATCACAAGCCACTGAGACAATATTGATGGTTGCAACAGAAAACAAATGTCTGCTAAACGCTCTTGAGGCCAGTTCCGAACCACCCTCGCATTTGGTGGGCGCAAAGGTGTCGAACATTTAGCTATGAAAGTTTGATGAGCGAATTTACACGATATTGATCTTCCCCTTGATCAAACGGCGAAGCTTAACGTCTAAGATTCCATGTTGATGGAATTTCGTGGCATCAGGCCATGCCAGTCGAGTAGATGGTCCTTTTTTCCCTAGGGTCACGCCAAAGCCATTGGTCCAGTGAAGCTGGCTCTCTCCCTCCGAAGCCATGTTCCGTGATGTTGAGGCGTAGTAAATTGATGAACTAGATCGACCGACATCCAGAATGCATCGGCGGCGATTCAAGAAGAAAAGACTTTCCTGATAAATTTCATAGGAAAACACGTCAAAGTGATCACCGACGAGTCTTACACACCGTATAACCATCAATTCTCATAGTAGAGCCCGAAATGGTTAACTTTTCAACTTGTTCCATCATGGTAACCTAAAACATCCAATGATATCTACCCAATGACAACTCAGAATGGTTTCAAATAGCTCTGCATCCAAGGTAGCGGGCTCGTGTATAGCCGGTCAGAAGCTAGGTGGTGAGGTGAAAAGTTCATTAGAATGTTGCTGTACATCCATTCCTCTGGGTCACAGATTGCAGGCGCATGGAGCGTGCATGCGCCGACAAAATCTCTAATCCAACGACAGGCACAGCTGCGTTGAGACAAACTTCTGATCGTGTGTCATTCCTGGGCTAAGGAATATCCAGAAATGAGAAGACGATTTGTTTCATTTGAATATGATGATTTGCTATACGCCCAGCCCATGGTTGTACTAGACTCCAAATAGAAAGAACTGCCTGCAGTTTTGTAGTCGATTGAGGTTATGATTTACCTTATAGGTGGATGCGTATGTACTTGGCCTAGAGTAAGTGAAGTAGAAACTGGTGTAAGCTGTGGCCGAGGGTATTTTCTTCTCGTTAGGAAAAGAATCTTGAGATTTGTAGGAGGCGCTTTCCTATGGATAACAGTTCTGCTTTATCTTCTGATGGTACGACGCTGGAGCTTTTTAGTTTCAGAGGCTTTGAATTTTGATTCTTGTTGACTTTGTATACTCAATTGGAGAGCTGCAAATGCTGGCGCAGAAGTGGATGCATCTCTCAGATGAAAGCGGTGAGCAGACACATAGTGAGACAAAATTTTGTGGCTTATTCACCGAATGTCCAATCAATTATGTGGCCTCTTGGGTTTTGCCAGCCTTGGCAAGTCTGGCGTTGCTGCCTCCGACCACCAGCTGCTCCCCCGAGCCAAAGAAATTGCCAAATGAACCGTATATGAATACCACACCTCACCTTCAGTTGCATCCACTCCAGCTCTCCGCCAACGCATCGCTTGGAGTCGTTCTACTCAATGCGCTTTCCCCGACTGTGTCTTGACCGCCCCCGGGCGAGAGAAACGTTTGCGTACGCATCTCTTCCTGAGGGTAAATTCATCCGATGATCGAGCTTCAGCCAGGAAACTATGATGATCGCTTGATATGTAGCCTACACATGTCAGGTGTTGACAGCGCTACCTTTGAGGCTATCTCCTACGTCTGGGGAACGCATGGCAGGAACGAAACTATCATCTGCGACGGCAAGCGGCTGAGAATCACAAAGAATTTACGAACGGCTTTGAAACGTGTTCGACTGCAAGGAGATACAAGGAGAATATGGGCAGACTCGATATGCATTAACCAAGAAGACCCCAACGAGCGAGGCCATCAAGTGGCTTTGATGGGTGATATCTACAGCAAAGCCACACAAGTTGTAATCTGCGTCGGACCCGACCCCGATGACCATGGACATCGAGCCAGCACACTTGTGGACGATGTCAACAGAACCGTGCTTTCAATATGTGAAAGCATCGACTATTCACCAAAGAGTATCCCGTACGCGAGGGATGACGATCCGCTTCGAAATGATCAGAGGTGGAAATCGTTCGCTGCTCTTCTTCAGCTACCTTGGTTTCAGAGAGGATGTGTGGTACAGGAGTCAGGACTTGCAAAGTCGGCCATCATCCACTGGGGCAGTTCGCAGATCTCCTGGGCGCCTTTCATGAGGACTTGGCGCTGGGCAAGCCGTCAAGCTCCCGCATTGCACGTGCCACTATTTGACAAGATATGGCTGAGCTTGAACCCTATTTGTGACATGGCATTCGTGGCATCTCATCTACGCGAAAGCGTTGCTTGGTACCCCAAAGCGAGCACATCTCTGATTACGCATCCTCTAGAGATGATGAGGCATGGCCACCGCCTTTCCCTCACTGACAAACGCGACCGTGTGTATGCGTTTCTTGCGTTAGCACAACGCTTGACTGTCTCTGAGTTCCAACCAGACAACCCCAGTTACAGTCAAACCTTCCAGGAGACCTATCTTGCGTTCGCTCGCAAATATCTCAACGACACGAAAGATGCCACTCTCCTCAACTACGTCCACCACAACGCGGATACTCTGTCTTCTAAGCTCCCTTCATGGTGTCCACGTTGGGATCTGGGTGTTCACATCAGTTATATCACGACCCCTTCTCACAAGTTGATGGAAACACGTCCCAGGTCACCTTACACATTGGAGATCCTGACTGGCAACGTCCTTCGAATGAGCGGGGTGATCGTCGATTCAATCGCTATGACGTCTGAAACACTTACTAGTAGAATTACGGTAAATGGGATCGGGTTGATTTGGGAAGAGTTCAGAGTTCGTCAAAAGAATGTATGCCCTTATGAGCCCGACCTCCGTCTTCAAGCACTTGTCCAGTGCCTTACTGGCGGACGAATGTATGGACGTGAGACCAAGTGGTATTGTGACTATGCAGCATACCTCAGGGAACTTTTCCGAATCAGTAAAGATACAGTCATTCCCCAAGCTGTGATGGAGTTAGGGAACATTGGCGAGGGAGAAGTGGCGGGCGTTCATCTGATCGCGGCAGAGTACGCCCATAATCGAAAGGCCGTGGCCACAAGGAAGGGGTACTATGCACTGGGGCCTGGAATCTCTGAGAAGGGCGATTTTATTGCCGTCCTATGTGGCACGCGTGGTCCGGTAGTTCTACGAGAATCTACTTCCAAGAAGGGATCGTACAAGATCATCGGAGAGACGTTAGTGGCTAGCAAACGCACTTACCGTAACACCCAAGGCGTTTTACTTCCTTAAAGACTAGGGGGGATTGGGACGCAGGATTGGGAAGGCTGGGGAGCGAAGGCAAATGGTGTTTTGCTGATTTAAGTAGTTCTTTAGCTGGAAACCCAGATGGTGAAAAGCTGTGGTAACGAAGCGAGGCGACTACGGCTTGACCGAGACAAGCTTGGGACCTCTAGGAGAAAAACATCTTTCGCGTCCAAGTTCTGAGCATCTCTAAGAGGACGCGTATCGAGACACTAAGAGTTGCGTATAGTAGTATATGAAAAAGGAGGTCTTCAAAAGCCATTTGACAAATTAAAGTGGCCTTATTCAACCCCAATGAAATACCAAGCCCAAAAGCTGGTCCAGCAGCAAAGGACATCCCAGCCGACACCGCTCACAGCTGGGTGCTTATAGAGTGTTTTCATGACGATGGTCATACCCTTATCAATGCCAAAATTGCCCCTGAAAGCGACGGCTAACACCCAGGCCATAGACGCCAACTGGAAGAGCTTGAAGAGCCAGGTCGAATCACCAAGCATGTGTATCGGCAGGAAGACTTCCAGAACCAATGACACGAATGCCAGTAGATGAGGTCTCGGAAGCAGTGCGAGGAACCCAGGCAATCCCGCTGCAGAAGTAGTTGATGTTGCCCAGAGCAGGTTCATAGTAAGGAGGACCGTATGTCAGGACCATACACCGGGACACCGTTGATGAGCTTGCCTTCTCTGACACAGGCTTTCGAGCTGCTTCGGCCCCGCTTGCCATCTTTGGATGATGACAGATTGGAAGTATGACTGCAAAGTATGGCGAGAAAAGAAAAGTTGGCTGCAAAAGATGTTGCAACCACTTAGCCAAGCAAGACGAATGCCCAATCTTGTGGAATCTTCCGTCTCTGGGCTGATCACGCTATGGTTATGTAGTTGGCTGATGCCATCGTCCGTCTGACATGACTACTATTGGAAGACCCCAGTGTGCTTGAACAACAGCATGCACAGTGCACTCCAATTTACAAACAATTGGGAAACTGCGAAGACCACCTTATCCTCGGTCACATTCCAAGAGTTGATGCATACGCCTCCTTGAATAACAACGTAATCCACAATCGCCAGGGAGCGAAGACTGATAATGAATGTCTTCTTAACCTAGTGAAGTCGATGCGAAGATACAAGTGAATAGACGATATGTGCAAATAGAGAATTAATGAATAGGTACCCAAAGAGCGAGTCGACTAACACGTCCAAAGCTTTGCATTGAGGATTGAAACATTGAAACGGATCTTTCTAGACATAGACTCATTCCTCGGCCGGTCCCAGACTCTCATCATTTGGCTCTAACTTGAACTCGAACTCTCGAAACAAATTACAGATGTGATATTTGGTTACTATCATGTAGGTCAGTGATAGAAGACCTGATTACCCCATACTGAACGGCAGGAATTGGAACCCGAAGCCCCTGGACCCCAAGGCAACCCACTGTCCGGCGACATCTATGAAATTTGCAGCGATGGTCGAGAGATGTAGAGTAGCATTGTAATTCAAATGGAGTTCGACTGCAATGAGCAGAGAGAATGGGATACTTTCCACTCCTCAGTGCGGGAAAAAAGCCTATTTTGCGTCAAATGCACTGACGGGGGGTGCCCGAGTCCAAGAAATTGGGTCAGGCCCGAGAATCAGGAAAACGGGTCCTACTTTGACTTCGGGGACTAAAGAGCGTCAAGTGGGCCGACGGAAGAAAAGTTTTGGAAGCTGGCCAAGTCGGTGCAACTGTCCATCCGACACAAGTGATAACACGTAACAACAAAAACAACATGGCTCATGGAAAGCCTTCGATGGATCATTTAACCAGTTCAAGCTGTTTATCAGTAGTTGCAAATGGAACCTATCTGAAGGAATCACAGATGCCGGACAACTGTGCCTAGACCAAGGAATACCACTGACCTCATTCATCGACGCGACTCGTGCCTGGACCTTTGAATCGGTGTCAGTGCTCGTGCTCAACCTCGGCATCCGCACACGTTGCGCCCCTATTCAGGGATTGTACCTGCTGGTGATGTGGTCACTTCCAGGAGCTTGTCTCTTCCGGGGAAATATTCAGTGAAGGCGGTGACCTGGAAGCACGGGACTGATTTGCATAAATGAGATCGCTGCTCCTATGTTGCAGCGCGGTATGCGAGTGTTGATGTGGCTGATGACTGCTCGACGATGATCAGAGCTCATTGCGAAGGTGATTCCAGCTGAACTTCCCACGCCGGCAAAATCTCAAGCCTTGTTGGATCCGATACCGAGGTGCGGTTCGCGCCTGAAGCAGACTGGAGTAAACCTGGTAAAAGGGCAATCTCCTAAATATCTCACTACGTGGCATGACTTGCAATGCTCCCCAGAGAGTGGCCATCATTGGCACCGGCTTGGCCGGACTCACTGTTGCATACCTGCTTCACAACGACAAAGAGCGACGCTATGTAGTAACATTGCTTGAACAGGTATGCAAACATTGTGGGCAGTATTGTGCTGCAAGCTAACTCTGCTAGGCTTAAAGTATCTCATTTGACTCGGCGTCGGTTGCAATTCGGGATGAGAAATCCGGCGTGGTCGAGCGAATCGATCTCCCGATGCGCGCCCTCGCTGGAGGCTACTACGCGAACGTGACGCGCATGTATGATCACTTAGGCATCCCCTATCACCCGATCAAATTCCTGTTCTCCTTCATGAAAGCTCTACCACCTCGGAAGGTTGACGCAGCTATGGCAAAGGATGGTGGAAGCTGCGAGGGCGCACATGTTGGCATGCCGGGGGAGTACTTCGTGTATGCCTCAAACTTGCACCGAGTCCCCCCGTGGCCAGGAAATAGAAGCATCATGGCATATGTCGTCGAAATCTTATACTTGGTCGTGTGCCAGTTTTGGTTTACCGTGGCATGCTTTTTCGTGCATCCCAAGACCGACGGATCTGACGGCGGAGAGTCGTTTGCGGAATACACCAAGAGAATATGGCTGCCACGCCGGTACACGACACATTACTTGCTTCCACTCTTGAGCAGCGTGTCAACATGCTCTCACGACGAGCTGCTAGCATTTCCAGCAAGCGACGTGGTCAACTACAAGAAATCATCTCACGGCCATCAACACTACGCCGTCTGTGGAGGCGTCCACCAAGTGGAATACAGACTCATAGAGGGCATTGAAGATATTCGACTAGGAGCTCGCGTCATGAAAGTCGTCTCAGCAGAAAGCAGAGGCACAAAGATTAGCTGGCAGACAATGAAGGATGGGTCAATACTGGAAGAAGAGTTCGACAAAGTGATCCTCGCAGTCTCGCCGGATGTGGCCGGTAAGGTCTTTGCGCTTCTAGAGAAGTCTCTCGGAAACATTCCAGCGATTCGCGTCGAGAGTTCTGTCCTCCGTTCGACGCAGTCGAGCGCCGAAGGCATGTTTTCTGTCGTCCACGGCAAGCACGGTTATCCTCAGGGCTGCGCGCATCACCAGGGAAGCACCTTGCCGGCCCAACACATTTGCCTGCGAACCGACTTCGGCAAGAAGGCAAGAACTGAAGCCTTGCACACAATGCCTGGGGGAGCGGTAGTGAGCACTTGCCCGCTTGACCCTGAGGCCGAGGTAAAAAGAGAGCTTCGATCGGCCACGTTTACACGCACGCTCAGAACGACTGAGAGTAGAGCAATCGTTCAGAAGATAATGGGCGCTGGGGGAACTAAGAACAAGAAGATGGAGCAAGCAATGGGGATGGAATGGGTTAACGGAGAGGACAATGTTTGGCTGGCAGGTGCGTGGTGTTGGGATGGAATGGTTTTGCTCGAGGGATGTCTGGTCTCTGCGATGAGAATAGCCGACGATTTTGGGGTTCAAGTGCCATGGCAGAAAGATGGGAAAAGAACATAACCACGATACAGAGCGCACTTGGTTGAGCGAGAATGCGACGAAATAGTGAAGTTGAATTAGACGTCTGACGCTCACCTAATCTGTCTAGCAGTGTTTAAAGACGACACTTTGGTCTACAGACCACAAAAAAGAAAAAAAGCCGGACCCGTTTGATCCTCCCGGGCTTTCAAGTCGTTGATGTCAGGTCTTGGGGGTGGAGAACGACAGAGTCTGCGGATTTGCTGATGACGGTACAAAACACGCTGATGCCCTCCACAGCTGGGACCGGGGACACTCTCCGAGCAAGGGAGCAGTGGACGGCAGAGGAAGCCAACGACTAGGATCCGTGGTCATGAAAAGATATATTGCTGGGTTGCAGCTCTCATTGCTCAAGTTTTCCCGTTCGTCCCCTGCAGGCGGACGGTATGTAGATGTGTTGAGTCGGCTCCAACTAAAAAAATGATTCACGCGTCTGCTGCACGTCCCTGTTCCACCGAACGCTGTCTCTCTTCGAGGCCTAAACCTCCTTTCGTACTGAGACGTAGCCACACCCAAACCGAAAGGGCAACGCAGCATCCCATTAGTGACCCCAGCTCCACTGCGACCAGAGCTCCCCTCCAAGCAACATTCTTGGCCCAATACCAGCACACTATTCCGACCAGAAATTCAACAATCGAGATGTCCAACAGGACTAGCGGCGACCATGCCACAGCAAGATCCGTCCGAGTTGCCCTTTCAAACCCTTCGAATGCAAAGAGCAGCATTGTCGCCATGACTGCAGACAAGACGCCTGTCACGGCGGAGCTGCAGAGAAGACCTTCACCAACTTCTCCGACCCCTGAGGTACTGGGGTGGAAGTCGGGGAAGGTTAGGGCGGCGACAGCCAGACCGCTGATAAGAGCAGAGAGAATGACGAAGGTGTTGTAAAATCGTAGTAGACGTTGAAAGACCAGAAAAGCCCTGACGTCAAGTTGCTTGTTCCACCATAATCGCTGCGACTCCAGTTTTTCTCCCAGAGTCGAATGAGGCATATTCGGGATCGTAAGGTAACTTTAATTCTAGCTGGATGGCGCGGCGTTAGCAGGAGTAGCGCCCCCTGGAGTCGGTGAGAGGGTTGACGCCGCGGCGAGTTGCAATATACGATCTTTTGGCCCCCGATCTTGAGCGGCGATGGAGGAAAATATGCTGAAGATGGAACAAGACAAGATTATATGCCACGACTTCACGGAGGCCTCGAATGTCGACAATTCTTGTCAGGCGGAGCGGGGGAGCAGCGGAGGCCCGCAATTTCCAGGTTTTAAGCGCTGCCTAGCCGCCCAGCAAGGCGTTGGTGACAAGGGTTGTCGAGACCGCAAAGTTGACAAACTCCGCATTCGATGAGACAGCGTGTTGGTTGCTAAAGCCAAGGTTCCAGCGTGGCTGTGGTTGGTTGACATGATGACCAGGTGGGAGACTCAAGAAGCCAAGATACTGTTGCGTTTTTGGCAGGCTGAGCCTGCCTGATCAGCGTTGAGCAAAGGTCTATTTACCGAGCTGCCCCGTTTCTGCCTACCGCATTGCATTTGAAGGCGTGATGCCGCCTGAGCCTTCATTGTCATTCAATTAGTCCAGGCATCACATGAGGTGGCTACCCATCAACCAACACGAATGCCACCCAGAGCTCTACGTGACGAGACTCACATGCAGAATCAGCTTAATTCTCTCACCAAGCCATGCACGAAAATAACCAGCATGTCCAGCAAGACTTGGACCTGAAAGGAGTCGTTTGAAAATGTCCACTCCCAATTATGACTATGGTTACCTGTTGCAAGATGTATGCTGTTTCGTTATTCATCCACATTTATGCTGGAGATGTGTTGGATTCACAAAAGATATGTTTCACTTCACATGGAAAGTTAATACTGCCAAGAAATGTCTCGCTGTGAAAGATTGGCACAATTAGAAAAGGCTTAAGGACTACAGTCATATTGCAGAGAACATCGCCAATCTGAGGAACAACATGACATCAGACATCAGTCCTGTCCAATTTGCCCGGACGACAGAGCATTTAGCAATCAAAAACAAAGAGTTTTGAAACTGAACTGTCAATTGCTCCTATTTATGAAATTCTTGATTAAATCCTTTTGATCATATACTATTTGACCTCCGAGTCGACATGGTGTTTCGTGAGAGGCCGGGCGTAGAGATATTCTTCGCAAACGATAGAGAAGCAGTTGACTTGATGATCATTGGAACGTCTAGCACGACCCATTTTCGAGGATTTGGACCAGGAATTGAAATGTCTAACCAAAATCCCTTCTCTCAATAGGCTCGTGTGAGTTGCCGCCCGATACCGAGAGGGTTTTCCTAGAGACTAGTACTACCCAAGGGCAAGCTCTAACTAGTACGCAAATAAGGATAGCAACAAGGATGATGGGGATACAAGGAATTTGTACCTAAGTGGTACACTCCATGGGAACATGAATGGTATTATTCAACCATATCGTACACAAAAGAAATAAAAAAAAATATTGAATAACTGAATAATTAGCAAAGCTATTTCTTAGCACAAAACGTGTTTGCGCTGATGTTCGGCCACTTGATTCGGTGACGCTGAAAACGTTGCTGACAATAGCTTCAGGTGCACAATGAGTGCATAAATTGCACAAGTCGCTTCGAGATTCAAGAGGTGCGATTACTCACGGTCAGATCTTGAGTGGTGATCACATTCCCCAGGATGAGGACAAACAGCTTCTGGTTGGTGCCTAGCGCCAAGGTGCTGACAACGCCACCCTTAGCGCCTTTTCAGCTAAGGCCCGTTCGCGAACGTCAACCTCACCTTGACATCTCGAATCGTCACTTCGCATCGGCGGCGCCATCTTCAACACAGTGATTGCGCCGTAACATTCATCGACATGCCGCCGACACACATCAAAAGATCCAACGACCTCTCTATCCAGCTTGTCAACCCTGCAACGCCGCTGTACCCAGGAAGCGTCGTCCTAGGCCACATCGTCCGCAAGTCTCACATCGTCGCACCGAACGCCACCATCCGTGTCCGTCTCCTCGGCCGTGCCAAAGCAAAACTCGTGATCGACCGTGGAAACAACTCAAAAAGCTACTACCGCTCCCGCTTCAACTTCTGGCGCGAGGGAGCCATCGCCGACGTCGTCCATCATGGACCGATACACGTCGCCCAAGGCGCAGGAGAAGAGCATTCATGGCCTTTTGCGTTGGCACTTCCGACTCACACCGATGCCGCCGCCGTAAATGCGGGATTATCTGAGAATGAGAGGGCCGCGTGCTTCTTGCATGCGCCCGGTGATCCACAAGGAAAGCTGGGTGTGCCCGAGCAGCCTCTGCCAGGAAGCTTCTTCTTTGAACACTCTGGGTTCGGCAAGAGTTGGCATGGATATGTTGAGTACTGGCTCGAAGCCGAGTTGCGAGTCGAGGGGAAGAGCAAAATTACTGAGGCAACGATGCCATTGAGAGTGTGGTCCGTGCCATCGCCGTCGCCGCCAATGACGGAGTTTGGATTGACAGGGAGAGTGATGAACGGACTTGTGTCGACGCAGCGACTGATCCCTGGAATGGAAGATGTGAAACTGAGTTTCAAGCAGAAGTCGCAAAAGTTCTTCGGATCTTCCAAGGTGCCGAATTTCCATTTTTCAATGAGAGTCGAGTACCCCACGCAAATACAACTAGGAAATCCGCACACAATACCCTTCAGATTGCGCATCATACCAAACAGAGAGAAGAGCTCCGATGTCATCCAAGATGTCCCTCAAAAGGCTTATATCAAGAGCGCTACGCTAGAGATGCAAAGCACGGTTGGTGTCATCTGCCCGGGAACTTTCGACTCGCATGAAGGCAGCAAGACAAGGAAGCTATGCATCGGCAGGACCAACAAGTTCGTCAACGAGGTCGACGGATTTGAAGTCCCTTGCGCTCCCAAGGAGGACGTACTGGATCTTGGGGCAATTTTGGGCCTGCAGATCGACGCCAGGGGGTCGGTAGTTGGCGCCTCGAGATTCGGCGGCGGGACACTTGAGACGATGTCACCCACATACACGACGTACTGCGTGAGACTATCTCATGTATTGCACTGGGAGGTGAAGCTTTCAATTGGAGGAGAGTCCTGGGAATGCGGATGGCAGAACAGAATCGCTGTGCATCCTCCGGTGGAAGAGGCGCTGAGCGGGGGTGTTGGAGCGGCGTCGGCAGGTATGGCGACGTTGTCATTAGAACCGCCTCCACCACCAGTTGACGAAGCAGTCCCAGCCTATGAGGGTCCGAGTACGGCGGCGCCAGCATACGAAAAGGTAGCAGGAGGTCAGGCGTCGAATGAGGTCAATGCTAATGGGGAGGGATCATCGGCTGTTGGCGGCGACATGAAGTCGTGACGGCCGAAAAGCCAGGAGTGAGCGAAAGAAAGGACCATACCCGAGTAGTACCTATACTAAAATGCAGTGAGCACAGGATATAATGGCAATGTGGGCGCAAGAGCATCGAAGGGGCAATCGATTTATTTGAGTGTAATGATGGAAGAAGATCAATAAGACCCTTGACATTAGAGTCATAGAGGGGGAGGATCCCAAGAAGGCATCCGACGGGCTGATGCCTGGCCTCTCATATGAACATAATACATTTTCTTGAAGTCAATCCATGACTTTGTGCTGCGTAGAGCGCGTCTTCAGTGGCAAGTCAGCTTAGGCGCGGTCATCTAGGTGCAATTAACCTACTTGCGCCCGCTCAATTGGGTCTGCAATCAGAGCAAACGGCCCTGTAGCATCCCTCAATAATGTATCTCTCGGCGCCT